CACCCCCCGGGTCCGGGGCCCGGATCGCTGGGCGCCCAGTCCCCCTCTAGGCCTGTGTCCCCTCGTCCTGGACACCGGCCCCTGCCCACGCCCACTGCGTGATGCCCACTTTCCCCAGACCACTCCCCGACTGGGGCAGAGTCTGAGCTCTCGCTTCTCCACTGTGGCTCTGCTCAGAAGCCTGCACTGGCTCCCTAGTACCCAGGCAGGCCAGAGCCACACGCTCTTCCAAGAGCCAGGCTCCCTGGGGCTTGGGCATTTGCTATGCTCTAGTCACACAGGGGCACCTTTCCTTCCCCTCCTGTGGGCTGTCCGTCACGCTGTTGCCAGCACCTGAACTACTCTAAAATCCTGACCCCTGGGCCAGCTGCTAAGTGACGGGCTCTCAGCCCAAACGCGCCCCGCCCTGCCCGGTGTGATACTGGGGCGGCTGCTGGGGGTCGGGGCACGGCTCCGGCTCAGCCGACAGAGGGCGCTGCGGAGCCGCCGCCACCTGAGACCCGCGCAGCGCAGGGCCCAGCCTCGCCTCCCGGAGAGGTGACCACCCTCCTAGGGGCACCGAACTTCCTCAGCCCCTCGTCCACTCACCAGGGCAGCCCCATATGGGGACCACTGCCCATCTAACTGCTGCTAAGCCCGGGCCTCAGCTGTCAACCTCCTGAGACCCACACCTCTGACGCGCCAGGCACCTAATAGCTGTTTGCGAGGAAGGAATTCTGCCGTCCCCACGGAGCAGGTGAGCTGCAGCCCCTCACACAGCAGGTCTTAGTTTTGTGTCTGCTGAAAGGATGAATGAACACACACAAAATGAATGCAAGGAGGAGCCTGTGGCAACACGTGCCTCCAACTTAGGAGCTGCCTTTCTGCGGGATGGAAACATCCGGAATGCAGAATGTGTTCCTTTAGCCACTGGGCCGCACAGCCCTTAGAAAACCCGCGGGTCTATAAAAAAGCTTCAGGGGAGAATTGAGATTTGGGGCAGTACAGCCAGCCTTGCAAGTCCAACAAGTCCGGGCAGAGAGACAGACACGGAGACATCGCTGAGAACAGGCTGCAGAGCAGAGGCAGCAGCACGGGAAGGGGTGCCTTCCATAGGCCCTGCTGCACCCTGAGCCCTCTGCTGAACACTTAGGCTTAGAAAGTTGGGGATTGGGTCTACCTGGGGCCCAGTGAAGCCGATCCCTAGCTCTCTGACCCTGGACCCATCACAGGCCCCACCTGGGTACCAGGACACTCATCTGTAACGTGGTAATAACAGAGCATGAACATGTACGTCGTCAAGGTTAAGCAAGCTAGTATACACATGCCATTCAGCCCAACAGCGGGCATGGACTGACGGAACTGTAAAGGCCGGCGGCCATCCTGACAACAACATACCGTTTATGTAACTCTTTCACTCAACAATGTCTGCCAAACACCCTCCTCAGTGCCTGGCTCTGATGAAACTAGGAAACGAGAAAGACAGTGTCTGCCTTCAAAGCACAGGGAGGGCAGGTGCTTTCACCGGTAGTTGCTAGGCTCTGCCAGGTGATCCCTCACCTGCCCAGGGCATTCTGGAAGGCTTCCCAAAGACAATGACTTGGGTAGGATTATTCCCACTTACTGATGAGAAGCCCAGGCACAAAGTGGCTATCTGAGAGCCAGTGCCCACCTCAGCACCCAATGCACAGCCCATAGAGGCCAGTGGGCTCCAGTCCAGGCATCCCTGCCTCAGGGACCCAGGCCTCAGGGTGAGGGTAAAGAACAGAAGCCACACAGTCCTGTAGGTGCACCAGGGCTGGGAGAAACCATGACTGTACCCTGGGGGCAGGGTGGGGCTTACCTGTAGATTTTGAGCCCTCCAGGAATGGCAACTCCATCCCTGACCCCCCTACCACAGGCCACCAGCCCTGACTCTTCCCAGCCATGTTTGACACTACAGTCTGTTTTCTAAATCAGAGGTGGGAACATACCCTCTCCACCTAACACTCCCTCAACTGCCCACTGTCCTCATGGCAAGCCCAGCTCCAACCGCAAACCAGCGTGAATGTGCCTGTCCCCACCTCCAGAGATACCTTCTTCCCTTCCCCAACCAGGAAGCCCTAGCCCATCACTACACAGGTGCTAGGCACCACCAGGCCTCTCTCTGCCTCCCAGTGCTGGCTCCTCCTGGCTCAGGTCCCAGCACCCCACCCTCCCCACACCTCCAGGGCCTCCCAGCCCCCTCCTACCTGATCTTGCTCTGGCTGCCCCTGCCTGCTAAGGGGCCACTGATGTTGCTCTCCTGGTCGGCATCCCGGTCACGATCTTTCTCCTCTTGCAGCCGCTGGAGCAGCAGCTGGTGGGGGAGGCTTCTCAGCGAGGGTCCAGGAGAAGCTGCTGGCTGTGCCTCCCCCTTCAGGTTGATATCGCTGGCTGAGCGCTGCAGAGGCCGAGGGGATGCCAAGCCACTGGGGCCAGCCAGTCGCCGCCGCTTTGCATAGCTGGGGGTTTCCCTGAATGGTACTGGGGTAAGGGGGCATAGGTAAGACTCTGAAAAGCCAACTGGGTGACCAACTTCTCCAGTTCGCCCAGGCTTTCCAGATGTTAAAACTAAATCCTATGTTCCAGGAACTGCCTTGCTTCCAGGCAAACCAAAGGAGTTGGCCACCCTACAAATGAAGCTACCATTAAAGGGCCACATCCCAGTCAAACTGCCTCTCACCCTAGCTTCAGAGGTAGAAGCCTGCTTCTCCTCTCAGCCGAATGAGGCCTTGAGGATGCTCAGATATGCTCTGAGAACTGCATTTCACAAGCTTCAGGAGAGACAAAACAGGCTACATGTGACAAATCTCACCAGACTACTGCTGAACAGGACCATTTGTAGTTAACTATAACCAGGGAAACTATAAAAGACATTCTAGACCAGGGATCAGCAAACCTTTTCTGGAAAGAATTGGACAGTAACTACTTAAGGCTTTGCAAGCTATATAGTCTGCGTTGCAATGACTCAACTCTGCCACCGCAGTATGAAAACCACCACAAACAACGCATAAGCAAATAGGTGTGTTTGTGTTCCAATAGAATTTTACTTAAAAAGCAGATAGTGATTAAAAAGTATGAACAAGCTATAGGCTACTTACAAAATAATCACTTTAAATCCAAAGACACAAATAGGTTCAAAGTGAAAGGATAAAAAAAGCAATGTAATGTAAATAGTAACCAAAAGAGAGCTGGGTGGTTATATTAATATCATACAAAATAAACTTTAAGATAAAAACTGTAACAAGAGACAGAGAAGGACATTGTATGTTGATTAACAATTATTAACATATACAAACCGAACAACAGAACATCAAAATATGATACAAACAACACAATTTAAGAGAGAAATAGACAGTTCCACAATAATAGTAAGAGACTTTAATATCTTACTTTCAATAATGGGTAGAACATCTGGAGAGATCAATGAGGACATAGAAGACTTAAACCAATTAGACTTAATGATACATACAGAACATGCCACCCAACAAGGGCAGAATATATTCAAGAATTCTTCTCAAGTACACATGGAACATTCTTCCAGACAGACTGCATGACTGCAAAACAAGTCTCAATAAAGTTTTAAAAGACTGAAATCATACAAAGTATATTTTTCAATCACAACAAAACAAAGCTGGAAATCGAGAAGTGAAAGAAAACTGAAAAATTCACAAATATGTGGAAATTAAACACCATACTCCTAAACAACCAGTGTCAAAAAAGAAATCAGGCTGAGCATGGTGGCTTACGCCTGTAATCCCAGCACTTTGGGAGGTCAAGGCAGGAGGATCACTTGAAGCCAGGAGGTTGAGACCAGCCTGGACAACATAGTGACACCCCCATCTCTATAAAAAATAGAAAACGATAGCCAGGTGTGGTGCTGCACCCTGTAGTTCCAGCTACTCAGGAAGCTGAGGTGGCAGGATGGCTTGAGACCAGGAGGTTGAGGCTGCAGTGAGCTATGATCAAGCCAGGGCACTCCAGCCTGGGCCATAGAGTAAGATCCCATCTCTAAAAAAAAAAAAAGAAAAGAAAAGAAAAAAAAAAGAAATAAAGAAATGATAAGGAAAATTAGAAGACACTTTAAGACAAACAAGAACAAAAATACAACATATGGAGCAAAAGCAGTGCTTAAAGGGAAATTTAATGCTGTAAACACTTACTTTTAAAAAGGAGAACAATTTCAAATCAATAACCTAATTATACATCTTAAGAAACAAGAGAAGGCCAGGTACGGTGGCTCACGCCTGTAATCCTAGCACTCTGGGAGGCCGAGGCAGGCAGATCACCTGAGGTCGGGAGTTCGAGACCAGCCTGACCAACATGGAGAAACCTAATATTAGTCTCTACTAATAATACAAAAATTAGCCAGGTGTGGTGGTGCATGCCTGTAATCCCAGCTACTCAGGAGGCTGAGGCATGAGAATTGCTTGAACCCGGGAGGTGGAGGTGGCAGTGAGCCGAGATTGCGCCATTGCACTCCAGCCTGGGCAACAAGAGTGAAACTCCATCTCAAGAAAAAAAAAAAAAAGAAATAAAAAAGAAACAAGAGAAGGCCAGGCTCAGTGGCTCATGCCTGTTATCCCAGCACTTTGGGAGGCCAAAGCAGGAGGATCACTTGAGCCCAGGAGTTCAAGACCAGCCTAGCAGCATAGTGAGACCTTGTCTGTATGAATGAACAAATAAAAGAAAAGAGACTGGGCACAGTGGCTCATGCCTGTAATCCCAGCACTTGGGAGGCTGAGGTGGGCAGATCACCTGAGGTCGGGAGTTCGAGACCAGCCTGACCAACACAGAGAAACTCTGTCTCTGAAAAATACAAAATCAGCTGGGCGTGGTGGCGGGTGCCTATAATCCCAGCTTCTCGGGAGGCTGCAGCAGGAGAATTGCTTGAACCCAGTTGGCCGAGGTTGCGGTGAGCTGAGATCGCACCATTGCACTCCAGCCTAGGCAACAAGAGAGAAACTCTATCTCCAAGAAAAAAAAAAAAAAAAAAACAGAGAAGAAAACTAGAGAAAGAAGAGCAAACAAAAGAAAGAGGAAGGAAGCAAGAGAGGGACGGACGGACTAGAGAAAGACGACCAAAAAGAAACAAACAAACAAGCAAACGAGAAAGAGCAAACCAAACGAGCAAAAGAAAGAAAAGCAAGCAGAAGGAAGGAAACAGTAAGATTAGAGCAGAGATAAAGAAAAGAGAAAAACAGTGGAGAATCAAGGAAATAAAAAGGTTGTTTCTTTGACAATATCAACATAATTGACAAACCTTTAGCTAGATTGACTAGTAAGGAGAGAAGATGGACAGAAATAACTAAAATCACAAATGAAATTTGGGGACTTACTACCAGTATTACAAAAGTTAAAAAAGAATATAATACTATGAACAATTATATGCCAACAAACAGGAAAGCTAGATGAGGTAGACAAATTTCTAGAAAAACACAAATTACCAAAACTGACTCAAGAAGAAATAGAAAATTTAAACAGACCTATAACAAGCAAAGAGATTGAATCCTTAATCACAAGCCTCCCAACGAAGAAAAGTCCACCACCAGATGGCATCACTGGTGCACTCTACTAGAAATTTAAAGAATTGACACAAATTCTCAAACTCTTCCAAAAAGCAGAAGAGGAGGGAACACTCCCTCATTTCATGAGGCCAGTATTACCCTGATACCAAAGCCAGATAAGGGCATTACAGGAAAAGAAATCTACACACTAATGTAATCAATATAATACATCACATTAATAGAGAAAAGGGGGGAAAAAACCATGATCATTTCAATTGATGCATAAAAAGCATCTGCCATGATCCGACACTCTTTCATTATAAAAACACTCAGGAAACTAGTAATAGAGGCTAGTAACTTCCTCAACATAATAAAGGAAATTTATTAAAAATCCGAAGTGCTTGCTTCAGCAGCACATATACTAAAATTGGAATGATACAAAGATTAGCATGTCCTCTGCACAAGGATGACATGCAAATTCGTGAAGCATTCCATATTTAAAAAACAAACAAACAAGCACACACATAGATAGCATCATACGCAATGGTGAAAGACTGAATGCTTTCCCCCTAAGATCAGGAACAAGGCAAAGATGCCTGCTTTCACTACTGGTATTTAACACTGTACTGAAAGTTCTAGACAGGAAAAAAAAAAAAAAAAAAAAAGGTACCCAAATTGGGAAAGAAGAAGTAAAACTATCTCTATTTGCAGATGGCGTGATCCTATATATAGAAAATCCCAAAGAATACACCAAAAGAGCTACTAGAGCTAATAAATAAATTCAGCAAAGTTGTAGGCCACAAGATCAGCACAAAAAAATCACTTGTTTTTATACACCAGCAATGAACAATCCAAAAAGGAAATTAAGAAGATAATTCCATTTATAATAGCATCCAAAAGAAGAAAATACTCAAGAATAAATTTAACTAAGGAAGTAAAAAAATCTATATACTGAAAATGACAAAACACTGCTTAGAGATGACCTAAATAAATAAAAGGACATCCCATGTTCATTAATTGGAAGACAATGGTGTTAAAATGTTAATGTCACCTAGAGTGATTGACAGATTCAATGCAAAATTCCAATGTCCCTTTTTGCACAAATAGAAAAGCAATGTTCAAATCTATATGGTATTGCAAGGGGCCATGATTAGCCAAAACAATAACAAATAAGAAGAACAAAGTTGAAGCACTCAAACCTCCTGATTTCAAAAGTTACTACATGATGGGTGCAGTGGCTCATGCCTGTAATCCCAACGCTTTGGGAGACGGAGGTGGGTGGATCACCTGAGGTCAAGAGTTCGAGACCAGCCTGGCCAATATGGTCAAACTCCATCTCTACCAATAATACAAAAATTAGCTGGGCATGGTGGCACACACCTGTAATCCCAGCTACTTTGGAGGCTGAGGCAGGAGAATTGCTTGAACCTGGGAGGTGGAGGTTGCAGTGAGCTGAGATTGCGCCATTGCATTCCAGCCTGGGTACAAGAGCAATACTCCATCTCCAAAAAAATAAAAATAAAAAGTTACTACAAAGCTGCAATAATCAAAACCATGTGGTACTGGCGTAAGAATATACATGTAGACCACTGGGATAGAATTGAGAGTCCAAATAAACCCACATATCTAGGATCAATTCATTTTCAACAAGGGTGCCAAGACCATTCAATGGGAATAGAATAGTCTCTTCAACAAATGGTCCTGGACAATTGGATATTCATATGCAAAAGAATGAAGATGGCTCCCTACCTCACACTATAAACAAAAGTTAACTTAAAATGGATCAGTAACCTAAATATAGGAGTAAAAACCATAAAATTCTTAGAAGAAAACCTAGAGGATAAACCCTCGTGACCTATGACACCAAAAGCATGAACAACAAAAGAAAAAAATAAATACCTTGAACTTTATCAAAATTAAAAATTCTTGAATATCAAAGGATATTAACGAAAAAGTGACAAGGATCTCCTATTCTACAGAGAAAATATTTACAAATCACATATTCCATACAAGTTTAGTATTCAGAATATATAAAGAACCCTTACAACTCAACAACAACAAAAATAAATGACCCAATTTAAAAATGGACAGAGGACTTGACTTTTCTCCAAAGAAGATATACAAATGCCCAATAAGCACATGAAAAGATGCAGAGGCCGGGCGCGGTGGCTCAAGCCTGTAATCCCAGCACTTTGGGAGGCCGAGACGGGCAAATCACGAGGTCAGGAGATCGAGACCATCCTGGCTAACACGGTGAAACCCTGTCTCTACTAAAAAATACAGAAAAACTAGCCGGGCGAGGTGGCGGGCACCTGTAGTCCCAGCTACTCGGGAGGCTGAGGCAGGAGAATGGCGTGAACCCGGGAGGTGGAGGTTGCAGTGAGCTGAGATCCGGCCACTGCACTCCAGCCTGGGCGACAGAGCGAGACTCCGTTTCAAAAAAAAAAAAAAAAAGAAAAGATGCAGAACATCATTAGTCACTAGGGAAATACAAGTCAAAACCACAATGAAATACCATTTCACACTTACTAGGATGGCTATAGTCAAAAAAAAAAAAAAAGGATAGTAACAACTGTTGAAGATGTGAACAAATTGGAAGCCTCTTACATCACTGGTGGGAATGCAAAATGGTGGAAAACAGTTTGGCAATTCCTCAAGAAGTTAAACATAGAATTATCATATGATTCCAAAATTCCATTACTAGGTATATACCTAAGAGATTGAAAATAGGTATTCAAACAAGTACATGTACACACATGTTGATAGCAGCCATATTCAAAATAGTCAAAAGGTAGACACAACCCACATCTCCATTGACAGATGAATGCATAAACAAAATGTCATTTATACCAACAGTGAAATATTATTCAGCCATAAGAAGGAATGAAGTAGTGATATATCCTACAAGGTGAAGCTCAAAAACATGTTGAGTAAAAGCAGCCAGACACTAAGTGTCACATATTATATGATTCCATTGACATGAAATATCAAGAATAGGTAAATCTCTAGTCCACCGAGACGAAAGTGCGTTAATGGCTGACAGAGTTGGAGGGAAAGGGTAATTAATGCAGAATTATTGCTTAATGTGTTCAAGGTCTTATTTTGTGGTGATGAAAATGTTTTGGAATTCAACAGAATTGGCTGCACAACACTGTGAATATACAAAATGCTACTGAATCATTCTGGCCTAGAAGTGGTCACCTCTGCTTCCTTGCCTCTGTCACGTCAGGCCACTCTTTGGGTCCACGCTGTCTCTTACCCTCTCTCAGGCACACACTCCCAGGCACAGGTGTGTTCTCATGGGCATGACACCACCCTGGAGAAGCAGTTCGCCAAGTACTCATCAAAAGCACTGTGGGATACCAACTCCGCCCCCCAGGCCTGTCAGTCTAGACGGGGCAAGCAGGGCTGTCAAGAGGCAGCAAGTTATCCTGTCCCCTGAAGGGTGACACAGGTCCCGGTCTACCAGATCCCACCGGGTGGCACCTTCCCACCAGAGAAGGTGGCACCTCCTTCCAGTTCCTCTTACGTGTACAGGCCCCACTCTGGGACCCCAGTGGGGATAGGATGTCGCAAGTCATGACTGTCATGTCCTTGGAGCAAATGTGTACAGAGGGCATGAGAGTGACAAGGGCAGACCCTGAATCAATCACGTCTGAAGTAACCCCCTCTGTGCCTCAGTTTCCTTCTCTGTAAAACAGTCTAATAATCACTTCTTGGGAGATTGTTGAGAGGGCAAATTGAGATAAGGGGCTTGTATTAAATCCTGACAAATATGCTGCCTGTGCTCAGGGCAACCTGGCGGCGTCACCCTGTGTCTGTGTGACACCTGAGCGGGTCAGGGTGGTGCCCTAGTGTCTGTGTGTGACACCTGAGCGGGTCAGGGTGGTGTTGGCCCACAGAGCTGACCACATCAGGATGAACTGACACAGACACCTGCTCCTTACCACTCAGGGACGTGTGTCTAACCCCAACCGAGCAAGCACACCTGGGTTGGATGGCCAGTAACTCACAACCATGGTGACCCCAAGAGCCCTGGGGTATCTGTCCACAGCACACAGACGAGGGGCAGATGGGGCCTTCCCACCCTCCCTCCAAGCAACTAGACCAAGGCCACCGGCCAGAGTCCAGCTCCACCCAGGATCAAATGCCACAGGAGGCCACAGGGGGAAGGGGATGCAAATGACTGTAAGAGACCATGTTTCACTTAAGAGAAACTGAGGCGCAGAGCTCCTAGACAGCTTTCCTATGGTTAAGACAATTACAGGTAGAAGAGGAGGCCCCACACATGCACAAACCAGGGCCCTCCAACACTAAGGGCCACATCCAAAGCACCAGCCCAAACCAGAAGTATCTGTTGCCCCTTACGCAAACCCCAAACCTTACCACAGTTCTCCCCCGACCTGACCCTGGACTCCGACCCTACCCATTCCACTGGCCCAGTTACTTACTCAACACACACTTCCCTGCAGTGGCCTTGAGAGCAGTTGTGGCCCTCACTGAGGGTCTGCCACAGCCTCAGATGGTTCAACTAACACAGCCTGGGGTGGAGGGGCTCATAACCAAGCCTTACAGGGGGATGTTCAGGGGGAACGCTACAGAAGAAGGGCTCTTAAACATGAAACCGACCTTAATCTTAACCCCAGTCCAAAATTCAACTCCAGCCCTGACCATAACCTCACACTAGAACCAAGTGAGATTCCAACCCTAACACCTGCTCCAAATGTTTGCTGCCCACTGTCACTTCAAATTAAAACAAAAACAAAAAATGGGGATACCCACAAGTAAACACTCATGGCAGTAAGGGGGTCCTGGGAGTCCATGTTCCAGAGAGAGGCACAGGCAGAAAAGCCTGGACCACCCAGGACACGGAGGGATCAGCAAGGGAGCTCCTGTGCAGCCAGGAGGCTGGAAGGTCCTCAACAGGACGGTCCCAGCCTGGCCAGCAGCAACTCTCCCACAGGAGAGCCCACCCTCTCCAGCAGCCACACCCACCAGAGACCTCCCAGAGGCTCGGGTGTCCTGGCTGAGGCCACATGTGTGTCTCCTGGTTTTTCTTCCAGGACCGTGAGTCACGCACACACGAGGCACACACCAGCAGGGGGCTCAGAGCGCCTTGCCCTGAGGACGACTCTGGCACTATTCCCAGCCCCATTCTGCTTTCCCATCACTGTTTGGTTTTCCTTATGTGTCGTTTATGTGATCTTTTCATGTTGAGAGCTTGCTACGGACCACCTAGACTCACACTTGCTCCAGGGTGAAGTGAGGTCCACCAGCCCCATGTCTTCCGCTGGCCCTTCCTAGGATTTAACGGGAAGCAGGGACTCTGACCCTAACTTCAACCCCACTCTCAACCTACGCTGTCCCCTAAGCTGAATGCTAGCCCCGGCTCACAGCCCAAACCTCACCATGCTCTTCTCCCAGACCAAAAGCAACGTTCACTCAACACAGGCCCCGTGGCCCATTCCTCCTGCCCGCAGTGGCCACTCAGAGACCACTGGCCACACAGTGCAGATGTGGGGTAAGGGGCCCCTTTGTTATGTCACCACTGACCCCCACGTCTGCTAGGCCTCAGAAAACCACACGAATCTACATTCAACAGGGCCGCCCAGGTGGGCAGAACTCACCAACATCCGAGTCTTTGTGGGTCTTGATGACCTCTGCAAGCTCGAAGTTCCCTGCGATGATGGCCACCTGAGGGAAAGGGGGGTCAAGGCGTGGAGGAGCAGGGAGGGGGCTGAGCAGCACCAGCTTTGCCTCCCCAGCCAGCCCCAGCTGCTCCTTCTCGAGCTCCTGTGTGGAGTCTTCCTTGGTTGGGGGCCCCAGAGACCCCAGCCCATTCCTCTTCTCTACTGACACACACTCCTCTCTGTAACTGGAATGCCACAGGCGTGCCTCATAACTGGAGTGACCCGCCATCTGTTTGCCTGGGACTGAGGGGCTACCTGGACAGGAGAACTTCAGAGCTAAAACCAGCAGTCCCAAGCAAACGGGCACACTGGTCTGTCCCAACATGCAGCCAGGTTTCCCGTCTCAGCCAAGGCCCCATCGCTGCCCAAGCTGCTAAGCTCATCCTCCCCTTCCTGTGACCCTGCACCCAGTCATCCAACAGGCCCTGGCGTATCTGCTTCCCGATGTGCCCAAACCCCTCTGGCAGCCCACTGCTGCCTCCACCTTCTACGACCACACAACTCAGCAGCCTGACCACTCTTCCCACACCTCACTCCTACTAAAAATAGAGTTCTGTTTCCATTCCTGGTCTGCAAACCCCCACGATATTCCCCTGACTCCCCAACAAACTCCAAGTCACAGAGACCACGTCCACCTGGTCATCAGTGCCAACCGACCCGGAATTACATCAGCGGCTGGGACCACACCCCTTCTCCAGTTTGGCTTCTGCACCCCTGCTGGTCTCTGGGGGGGGGGGTCAGACCCACACCTGTCACCCCAGTCTTCTCAGCCTCCCTGTCCCCCGCCCCGGAGCCCTTCTGACCCTCCTCTTTCCCTGGCAGGGGGATGAAGGGAACATCAGCACCAAACACCTCCTCACGTGCTGGGCTCGTCCCCCCACACCTCCTCGTGGGCAGTCCTGGGGGAGGTGCTCCCTCAGGGCCTTCCAGGGAAGAACCAAGGTTCAGAGAAGTCAGGTCACACGGACACAGAGACACTCCTGTGAACCCCCAGTGTACCTGGAAGGCTGTCTGGCTGTTGTAGTTGCGGACATCCCTGTTGGCCCCACGGAAAAGCAGGACACGAGCACAGCTCTCCTGTCGGGGAGAAGAGGGGATCACAGCTGGGTGGCTGGAGAGACCATCGGAGCACGACAGCACATGTGCACGCAGGAATGCACGCATGGCGTGCGCAGGGCACAGGCTCACACACACGGACTCACGCCTATTTGTTCCATGTATACTGAGTGGCACAGGGACAAGCAGGTAGGTATACACGCTCAGGTCTCACCTGGCCCACAGGGCCTAGATGTACCCAATTCATACCTGGTCATTCAGAACACACGTGCACACATGTGAAGCCTATGCCCCAGAACAGGCGAGTATATCCACACTTGCTGGTGCAGGCATGTGCAGCACACACAGTCGCACCTGGTTGTAGAGGGCACAGATGTGCAGGGCTGTGTTCCCCGAGGCATTCTGGGCCCCCATGTTGGCCCCGTAGAACAGCAGGTGCTCCAGGTGCTGCACGTGCCCAAAGCGGCAGGCCTGTGCGGGGAGCAAGGTGCTGTAGGGTCCCTGGGCAGAGGCTAGGGCCCCCACCCCTACAGACAGAGTCAGGACCCCACACCCAGCACACACAGGCCGGGACCCCACCTCAGCTCCCTGCACACCTGGTGGATCTCCTGCCAGCCATTCTCGTCGGTGGTCCCCAGCTGAGCGTGGTCGTGGAGAAGCAGCTCACAGCAGAGGGCGTCCCCACCCCCCAGGGCGCTGTGGTAGAGGGGTGTCAAGCCGCGGCTGTCCTTGTAGTCAGGCGAAGCCCCCAGGTCCAGCAGGGTCTGAGGGTGAGTAGCCTCAGTATCCACACCAGGCACAGTGGCCCCCAGCCCCATCACCAGGCCAGGCTCAGCCCTCACTGACCGTCAGTGCTGCCGCATTCCGCTGGCGCGTGGCACAGTGCACGGCAGTGAGCCCATCGCGAGTGCGGAAGTCCAGGTGGGCACCGCCATTCTTCAGCACCTTCAGCAGGTCCGTGGCGTTGTCCAGCTGGGCTGCGAGGCTCAGGGGGCACTCTGGGTTCAGAGACAGATAAGGGTCAGGCTCCCAGCCGCTCAAAGGCCATGCCCCTCCCCTGCTCTGCTCACCTCCTGAGTCAGGGTCATGGAAGTTGGGGTCCAGCCCCTTGTCCAGCAGGCGGGCCACCTTGTCCGTGCTATGCAGCTGGACATAGTCCATGAACTTCTTCAGGTTCGCCTGGAACACCGGCCATCAGTCAGCCTGGCACCAAGGTCTCTACCATCTGAACATTACCCGCCTTCCTCCTGCAAGCCTCAGGCCACCTTCAGGCGTCCCCTGCCACATCCCTACCAATCTGACCTGTCACCTGACTTTGCAATTGTCACCCACAGCCCTGCACTCCCACCACGGCCCCAATCCCCACTTGGGTGGGCCCACGCACAGCTCAAAACCCTTCCTTGCATCCTGATAGCCAAACCGGTCACGACTGTCAGCTTGCACCCAAGTAGCCCCTCACCAAGGCCAGGTCACCCTGGTCGAGCCCCAAGCAAGTCCCCTACTCCAGGCTCAGTCACTGCCCTGGCTCTGCCGCCCCAACCTGCCTAGCCTAGAAGAGCCGAGGTCCACCCAGGCAGGAACCAGCCCCACAGCAGCCCTGGATCCTCAGCACCCTGAGACGATCTGCTCCTTCTCCGGTGCATCTTCCTCTCCAGCTCACCCCACGGCAGAGCCCCACCCCAGGGACCCCTCCTGTGACATGACTGATGGCCTTGTACTCATTCACCCCGTTTATTCACTCGCCCCACAAGACGTGACTTCCCCAGCCGGCACTACGGACGCCACACACACAAGGCAAGGTGCCCTGGCCAAAGGCCTGGGCCTTTCCATAAACCCCCAATGTACATCAGAAATAGGGGAGGGTGCCAGAGGGACCCCTGCCTTGGGAGGCAACCTCCTCAGGAGGGCCAGGCAGTGAAAGAGGAGGAAGTGCTCACTACCAGGGTGAGGGAAATGCTGCTGGAGCTCAGGCAGGCAGAAACACGGGGCTATGTAAGAAGTTTAGGCTCATTCTAAAAACTAACGAGACCTACTGCAGAGTGAGTCACTCATGTCTTGTTGGTCACTGAAGAGAGATCTGGAGGGAGAGGTGGCCATGGGGGAGGAACCCAGGTTGACAAGGTCAAGTAAGGGCCAGTGGCGGGACAGGGGACCCTTCCACAGTGGACTCTGCCCAGCCATAGTGCTAAAGCCATTGACCACCGCCTGCCCTGGGGCAGCAGCAAAGTCTGGCACAGAAGCCTGAAGTTCCAAAGTCACTGACGGGACCATTAGGGCACAGGGCTGACAGTTCTGACCCCTCTCCTGGGCTCCAGAGACTGCCCATAAAGTATCCAGCAAGCAAGTGCCTGCTGGCCTGTGAGCGGGGATGGGAACCCCTGGGGAGGGACTGTGGCACCCACCCTGCCCCTCTGACATTCAGAGGTAAATAGTAAGGTAAAGAGAAATAGTAAGGTGCCCCCCTCAAGAGCATTTGGGGTCAGGCCCAGTTAGGGGTGGCACCCCCCAGCAGTAAAGACCCCTCACAGGTATGCTTGGGCACAGGGCCTGGAATCAGACAGATCTGGGTTCAGCCCCAGCTTCACTGTCTACACAGTTGGGCACTCCGTGTCCCCATCTGTGAAATAGGGTTATAATAGTCCCTCTGGAAGAGGATTAACGAGAGGTCTAATTACAAATGCCCAGCACTGGCTGACCACTCAATGCTGGGTGCCCTGTCCCAACAGCCATCATATCAGATGCTTGTCCATTCCCTCTCCCACCCAGCTTCTCACAGGACACACCAGCCCCTAAGCCAGGGGGGTCAGCAAGAGTCTGATCTACCTGGAACACATCACTGTACCACCTGTCCCCCAGCGATGGGGCCGGGAATCTGTGCCCAGCCCTCCAGCCACACCCAGTACCGGCTCTGGGCCCCTGATGATAGGGACATAGACTGAGCTGAAGCTGGGGGACTGTGGTCAGCCCCAAGCTGGGGTGGGGGACAGCAGGCACAGGGAGGCAAGAGGGAACCTCAGGAGCCCCCTCCCCATGATCCTTTACCTTTGTGTGAAGCTTTGCAAACTGCTTATCATCAATGAGGTTCTGGGCATAAACTCGCCGCTTGTATCGAAACTGCTCAGATAAAGAAAAGGTAGAGAAAATGGCCCCACCCCGGCTGAGCAAGGGAGTCCATGCACAAACCCCGTCCCGCTCATGCTGGCCACACCGCACCCCTTACTGCCCTCCTGTACACACCATCAGTGCAGCACAACCCAATGCCACACAAATCCAGGTGCACATACTACCACGGTGGACAGAGCTAACAGCTGCCATGCACCCACCACACTCAGGCATGATGCAGCGCAATGGAACGCACATGCCTAGCTGCCCGCAGCCTGCACTGTCCTGTCTCCTTCCCAACCCCAGGATTCTCTGCAAAACCCCACTCCTCTCTGAAGGCCTGATTCCAGGCTTACCTTCCTAGACGTCCCCCTACACTCTCCAGGAAGAACTGACCCCACTTTCCTGTGCCACCACGGAGGCCCGCCCAATTTTGAGCTCAGCTCACAAGATCCTTATTCAATGCCCATTGCAGCTGGGCACCCCCCTCCACCCTGCCAAACTTCAAGACCTTCCACAGGACTGACCCAGTTTGTGTCCCCATGCTTAGCAGGGCACTCAATACATCTTCACACCATGCATGGGTGAGCAAAGGAGGGGACTTAGGTTGGCCTTCACAAGACTTCACAACTGGAGAAAGGAACGAATGTGCACACAGATAGCCCTGCTCACACCACACACCCCTCTGGCACTCACTCCTGCTCACACTCCTCCCTGGAGAACACTGCTCAGCATCCACACCACCCATGCTGCTCAGTGCACATACTGTTCAAAACTACACACACCACACACTCTGTATGTGCTGCACACAGCCCACACTGCTCACTGTATACTGCACATCCTGCTTACCACAATCACAACCCCACTCACTCTATACTCACTGCCCTACACTGCAATGCTGTACGCACTGCTCATTGCATGCAGTGCACACACTCACTGCACACACTGCGCACTGCACACCACTCGCTGCACACACTGCATGTGCTCACTGCACACACTGTACATGCTCATTGCATACTTTGTGCACACTCACTGCGCTGTGCCCACTCACTACACAGGCTCACGGCACACAGCACACACCACTCACGCTGTACATGCTGTGCACACTGCCCACCCACTGCACACACTGTGCCTGCTGACTGCACACACTGCCTGCTCACTACATATGCTCACTGCACACACTGCACACTGCACACTGCTCACACTGTACATACTGTGCGCACCTTGCCTGCTCACTGCACACGCTGCACACTGCCCATACCGTACATCCTTTCTGAGCACGCTACCTGCTCACTGCACACACTGTGCCCACTCGCCGCACACACTGTGCCCACTCGCTGCACAAACTGCCTGCTTGCTGCACACACTGTACGTCTTTCCTGCTCACACTGCCAGCTCACTGCACACACTGTGCCCACTCGCTGCATACACTGTGCCTGCTTCACTGCACACACTGCACACACTGCACACTGCTCACACTGTACATACTATGAATGCCTTGCCTGCTCGCTGCACACACTGCACACTGCCCATACTGTACATCCTTACTGGGCACACTGCCTGCTCACTGCACACTGTGCCCACTCGCTGCACACACTGTGCCTGCTCACTGCACACTGCTCACACTGCCTGCACACTGCTCACACTGCCAGCTCACTGCATACACTGTGCCCACTTGCACACACTGTGCCTGCTACACTGTACATACTGTGCACACCTTGCCCGCTCACTGCACACACTGCACACTGCCCATACTGTACATCCTTACTAGGCACACAGCCTGCAAACTGCACACTGTGCCCACTCACTGTACACACTGTGCCCACTAAATGCACTGTGCCCACTCGCTGCACACACTGTGCCTACTCATTGCACACAGTGTGCCTGCTCGCTGCACACTGTACACACTCACTGCACTCTGCACACAGCACACCCCCCACACACACACACACACACACACACTGCCTCCACCCTCACTCCTCCCACTTGTGTTCCCCACTGCCGTGCCCTTCACTGGTCCCGCCACGGAGCTTGGTGGTCCACCCGGCGCGCTCTTCAGCTCATCCCCCGCCGGCCACTTACCTCCAGGTAGGGCAGGGGCGTGTCCAGGTTGGGCGGGTAATCCTGCAGGAGCCGCTCCTCATCCAGGAACTTGCCGGCGCGGCCCCGGGAGGGCGGCTGGAAAAGCCCATAGTTGAGCGCGTCCTGGAGGCTGTGGTTGAGGGCGCAGAGCACGCGTTGCTTGGCGGCCC